GCCAGCGTGGCGGAGTAGTTAATTTCCGGGAAGAAATCTATGCTATAATAAAGCTCCCCGCGAAGAGCCTGTGCTACGAGTCTTATAAGGGGAGGAGGGGTTGCCATAGCCGAAAACATGCCAACTGATGTTTGTGTGGCGAACTTTTGTCCTGCCGCAGTAGTGGTGATATTCGGGCCCTCCGCCTGAGAAGGTTTAGGGTTTAGGGCAGCATTGGAAGGTCAAAGTGGCCTTGAAGGTATAGCCCAAATGTTTCCAAACACCTCAGGCTCAAACCCAAACTCTAAGCCTTAAACTCCATAGACCCTAAACCCCAAACGCTAGCCCTTAAACAAACCTGAATCCCATGAAGGGTTCACCGGGACCTTGGCAGCTACATAGATTCAAGCACCGGACCGTTTTGATGTAATTTTCCTGGTCTAAGGTTTATAGGTACCTCACCTCAGCCTAAACGGTGATTTAGAAGCCGTTTCAGAACAGTGTCCGAATCTTGTTTCCGAAGGACCTTCGATGTGGAAACACATAGACACAACAAACTTGCACCCTGAGCCCTAAGTCCAGACTGTTTTGATTTGATATAGAGACACCCGCACTCAGGATCCTATTTTGATCTTGCCTGCCACTTCCCCTCAGCCGGCTGCATCATGCTAAGCTCCATGGTAGGTAACTAAGCCCTTTAGGAGAGTTGCAGGGCGTAACACAGCTGCGTCTTCCATAGCGCAGGAGACGGTTCGCGCTCCGCCAGGGCTGCATCGTACACCGCTCCAGGAGTTTCGAAGAATGGGGTGTGGTGGGTACCTAGATATGCGATTGACTATAAATCTTTCTAGGGTAGTCTGGGGATCAAAATTTGGGTTTGGGCTGTATTTTTTGGGCGTAGGGCTTTGGGCTTTGCTTGCAGCCTTCCAACCCCAAGCCTCAAGCATCGTGGTTACGCTCATTCCCTAATACTGCTTCCCTTCTACAAGTACAAATATCTCTGTGTATATATGTATACGATACGGGTACCTTTTACAAAAGATTGACTGTCAACGATTGCGGTGTGGCTTTAGTACCAGAAGCGATGTTTCTACATTCCAAACCATGAAGCAAGGCACCTCACCAATACAAATCCAAAGCATGAATGCGGATTTTTAGGGTTAGACCATACCTGAAGATCCTAGTAAACAATAATAGTAATAATGGTATACAACATATGACTTGAGGGCGTTTGAGAAATTGATTTTCCCCTTACTGAAGCAGTCCTTGGATTTGCATTTTAATGTGTTTTTAATCAACCGTGCTCTCATTCCATAACCCCCATAGCAACAGTTTCCACATCATGTTTTTCCATGTGATTCCCCACTCTTCTCGTCATTTAGGCCCCTAAGCTTTAAACCTCATATATCCCCATGCAGCCCTAGATAACCCCCATACCCCGTAAGAGGACCACACACTAAATCACCTTGTTGGAAAACCACGCTCCATCAGGATGTGTCCAATCGGATCATCTCGGGAGGCTCCACGCGCTTGAGGGTTTAGGCTTTTGGATTTTCTGGCGTCACAAAGATGTTCTTGGCTTCCGTTTTGCCAGCAATTATAGTGTTGTTTTTGGCTCATGTCTGCAACGGCCGCAACAAATCTTCTGCGGATTTGGCCCCAATATGCCCCCGCTAGTGAAGATACGCTCAAAGATGGCCTACGCTTTCAGAAAAAAAAAAAAAAAACACAACATGGTCAAGGGCTTAGCGTTCATGGGTTGGTAATGCACGAATGGTAATTCTCATTTCACTTTCCATTTACTTTGCAATTTGATTGGTGCTCCATACTATCAGTGCACGCCATATAACCACATCCATGCGTCATTCCATTGGCATTGCCGCTCAGACTCCCCGGACATCTTCAAAACGCCGAAGAAGGCTTGATACGTTCCTGGATGCTTAGTGCTTGGGTCATTCAGGGAGGGGTTGATTATGTGCTAATCTCAAGCAAGCTCGGACAAGTCCTCTTGGTTTAGGATCGATGCTTGCGGCATGGCTGCTTCAAGCTTTTCTGTCTGGCGTGGAACCTTAATCCTATGAAGGGTCGCCGAGGACATGCTAAACTCTAAGCCATACATCGTAAATATAAGCCTTAAATTAATCCTGAACCCTAAGCTCTACGTCCTTGGGGTGGATGTTTCAAGATCTATTTTAGACTGCACGGCTTGGGAACTTTTCCTCACGGCTTCTTCAGGGCTTCTTAACATCATGCTCACGGCGATGCCCATGCCTCACGAGTCCTTTTTTGAACCCCTCAAACGCGGCCAACAATTCCTCAGTCATGTACCCAGATCTCTTTCAACACGAACCATTTTCTTGCCCTCTCCCCCAGATATCTAGAGTTCAGGGTTGGAAGGCGGCGGTTTCTCAGTACTGTAGCAAGATTCAGATTCGATGATGATGGTGCCGGGCCATTCGGATTTGAATTTGTTTGGACTCACCTATCCGTCCTGTTTTGCAGCCCGCGTACAGTATTTCATGTTCATATACTTGCTACCACAAGGTTTGCTTGCTTTTCTCATGCTAAGGGACGGGCGGGGCTTTTTACGATTACTCTTGCCGTAGGATGCTAGCCAAGGGCTTCCGAAAACCCTCACCTCGGTCATATGGGTGGTTGTCAAAATTATGTTCCCTTTTTGGGTACCCTAAGTATTAGTTGCCGTATTATGATGGGGATCCAAAATGGGACCATAATTTTGACAACCACCCATATGCCTTACACCGTATATAAGGAAAGTTGGTTCTGTTAAGGATGACGCCATAAACCCTAATTATCCTGAAATCACCCTGAACCCTAAACCCCAAACCCTAAACCCAAACCCTGAACCCCAACCCTGAACCCCAACCCCTAAACCCCAGAGTTTTCGGAAGTTCTTGGGACTTTGTTGTTTGGAGGCCTGTCGGAGGGCTTGAGGTTTTGAGTTTTGGAGCTTTGAGTTTGGGGTTTTGGTTGTGTGTGTCGCATTTCTCCATGATGACATTTGGGTAGGATTTAGGGTTTGGGTTTCGCGGGTTTTAGTGTGTACCACCAGGGATTCTTGTAGTTATATCATGGCCATGTTAACACCATATTTCGGCGCTTTTACAGTAGTGGTGATTGACCTAAGATGACATGTAGACCTGATGCGTGACTTACAGGAGTGCGGCTGAAGTTGCGTGGGCCCATGGGCACACTGCCAGAAATGCGGCCATAACTGCTGCTGTTCTACGTCTTGTTGATGAACAGAATCCTTCATGACCTAGAGTGTACTGTAGAACCAAGATCCCGAGGGTATGAGTATACAGGGGAATTCAGCAGTTAGTCATAGTCCCTCAATGGCATAGTCCCTTACGTGCCATTGAACTCCAGCATCCCATGACTTTTCCAAAGGCAATCAAAGAAGATGTGCTGATTTCGCCTGCAATTATGCCCATGAAGGTTCCTCCGCTTGAATTGTGGGGCGGGCTTCAGATAACAGGGTTCGTTTTGGTAGCTTTTAGGGGCTTTTTGCTGTCTAACTTATCGCGCGATTGCGCGGCTGGTTCAGGGATATTTGACTGTTTATGCAGCCTTAAAGCAGTACCGAAATGGGGTAACACACATATGCAGGAAAAGGCTGATCATAAGTGGGGTTTCAGGCCCACTTCTAGTTTCGCAAGTATCTGTGCTTAACTGAGCCCACAAGTATGGACCCTAAACCCTTTCAAAGCTTCCTGCAGCCAAGCCCTAGACCCCACCCAGAGATCCAAACCTTATAGTGAAGAAAGCCACTACTCAAAATCCTGGGTCCCTTTCAAGGAGATATAGGGGTTTCAGGGGTTCTATACTACGCGGCACTTAGCTTGGACCTTAGACCCTTAACCCTTTATTGAGGGGATTGGTATGGGAGCTTAAATGACTCATTGCACCAGAGGCTCAAGGCTTCAGAAATTCAACTCATTATGAAAAAAACTCAACTTGTCAAAGTAGCATTCCTCTCATATCATGTACATTCATTCTCTCATACTGACGTGCCCCTGCAACTCCCTATATTTGCCCCTATATTTGGGGTTATAGGGGTTGTATAGGGGTTGTATAGCTGCCACGTTTATGAAAAATGCCGCCTTAGAACACAACCCTAAGGGCCCAAGTGCCCAAACAATTGGGTTTCTGGTCCCTGTAGTATAATGTGAAAGGGATTTGGGACCCAACGCCCCAATACTTGGGTCTTGGACCCTCTCGGTAGTTTGACGCCCTGAAAGGCCTATGCGCATCACTGCGCGCACCGGGTATGTTTCAAAGCAGTCCACAACCGTAGCCCTAGCCCGAAACTCCTTACCCCACAGTCTTGCTACTGTGTAAGCCTGAATCTTTCACAGGGACCCTTGCCCCAAGCCATAAGCCATTTTGTAACAGAGCTGTGCAGTCTGGGGTCTGGGGCCCAAGTTCTTAGTGATTCAGAAGGCTATTTCTATAGCGACAACCTGCTCAACAGTCCACGTACCCAGATGTTCAAGCTTACTTAATGTCTGCATGCTGAAATTGCAAGGATGCCTGGTCCACCTGACACTCAAATTTAGGTACTTGGATCCCTGGCCCTAAGCCCTATAAACCCTCTAAACCCCAAGCTCCAAAACCTCAAGCCTGAACCCGACGAACCCCCCGACACCCAGCCCTAAACCCTTGAACCCTAAATCCCAAGCCCTGATTCCTAAACCCTTGACAAACACGTATTAATTATCTACTTCGAGCATCCCCACCCTAGGGACGTTATTGCACGAGAAATGTAATGTTCCCATGCGCCCCCAAATTGTCTTCTTTGCAGCACTGCAGCTGCGCTGCAAAACTATTGAAGTTTTGGCACTGCAGGGGCAAATGCTGTGGGGTTCG